GCTCAGTGAAGGTGAGGTGTAGATCTCCCAGAGACGGAGCACAGAGGCAGAAGAAGAGCTAGGAGACCATGACAAAGTCATCTTTAAGATTAAGTCTACTCTCTAAGAAATCTTCAACCAAAGTGTCTGACGTTCCTCTAAATTCAGGTGCCTGATCATGAGACTTGTGGAGAGAGGGAGAGAAAAACAACATGGACTGGGCATGTGCTTAGCCCTGGTTCATCATATTAATGATGCTGGAAGGGAGGCAACGTCATCTGCGTGGTTCTTGCTGTACAGTACAAGTAGATGAACCACATCCTGACTAAAAAACCTGAATTTTTTTTTCACATCCTTATCATGCATGAAGTAAAACCACCCTCAAGTCTGACTAAGGTCAGCTCTACAGTGAAATGTTTTTATGCCACTGCTATGACAGATGGGGATTTCCAAACTTCACCTAAGCAGACTCAAAAAGCAACTTTATTTTTATGGTGGAAGAAGGAGGATAGGTCTGAACTCCATTTTTATACAAGAATAAACTTGCACAATAGCTCTAACAGAAGCAAAAGTTTAGTAACACAGAACTATTCCACAATGTAAAATGAGTCATGTAAATGCTGGGGATCATGGGGTGTTCACAATTCTCAAGGTAGAGTTTGTTAAACAAAGTGTACAGTTAGACAAAATTAAAGGATTTTATTATAAGTCACATAAAATAGTGAAGTCATAGAAAATGTTTGACCAGTCTCCTCTCTCCTACTGGAGATTTGGACAGAAAAGGCAGCCAAGTGCTTGGAGTTTGTGGACAAAGTATACAAACATAAGGCACTAAGAATCAATCCACTGAAGTCATTGATAAATCTCTGCTCTTGATCTGTAAGTTGTGACACATTTTGAAAGGCTGGTCCTCGACCCAATCCCAAGGCCTTTCTATAGCTCAGCATTCAACCAACATTGGCTGCCGCAGTATATTAATGAAATTAAACTCTCCACACTCCCCCCAAAACAGCCTGGGACTCTGGTCTAACATGGTCTAACCCCAATCACATTGTTTTAGATAGCAGAGTTTCCAATTGCTGGTGGGGAAAATGAACAAGGAAGTGATATCCCTACAAATCCATAGTCAAAAACAGAAAAGAAAGCAGAATTTAAAGGTTGTCTATTTATCGGTTGGCATTTCTTTAACCTCCTTGCAAATATTCCCTTCCATGAAGTAAAATTCATATCTGTAGTGACAGTATGAATCACTTTTCTGTAGAAGTATGGAATCACTCTTATTTTACTTTTTACTTTTTTTTTAAAGATTTATTTATTTATTTATGCATACAGAACTGGGGTACAGGCCAGAGGTGCAGGGGCGGGGAGACGATTCACCAGAGACAGAGTGGGGAACAGAACAGGCAGATCAACAAAGTCCACTGCTGAGGGAAGCAGCAGGTGGTTCAGGAGAGGTCTGCCACATCATGTGGGTCACCTCTGGGGCAGACAGGAATCGAACTCATGCTGAAGTGGCTTTTGCTTCTTAGTGCTGTGTTTTAACCCGCTGTGCCACCAGGGAGGGCCCAGAATTCCTCTTATTTTAACAACGATTGTTGAAGAAGTCATGACTTCTAAGCTTCAGAGAAGTCAATTAATTTCCAGTGTCACAGTGCAAGGAGATAAGCCACTCCCCGACTCAAAAACCTAACTTCTTTCACATTTTCCTCATGCATGAAATAACATTATACTCAATCCTCTGAGGACAGTCAGGCAAAAGACTAGCTATACAATGAAACATTTTGAACCAGTTTTTACTATCTCTAAGCAGATACAGAAAATTGAATAGGCAAAGAAGGCTGCCAAAAGAAACCACACATAAAGAAACAACACCAAAACACAGCTCCCCACCCATAACCTCCTACTGTTCCTGTGACAACAGATCTAAATGATTATATTACTTTGTGGAATAAAACAGGTAGAGATGATATTCACTGAGTGCCCACAAGACTAGCCAGCTTAGGTTACTAGCTGTTTTACAGACTGCTTCTCTTTTGTTTGTTTGGTGTTCCTGACAATCTAGTTATGTTTGACATCTCCAGGAGAACAAGAGTTATAGTAAAAGTTAGAGAAGCTATGAATGAAAAATGACCCAGCCTGGGAACAGTGGCATGCTGGAATATATGGTCCATTTAAAGCAAACATTTGCCACTCCACACCCACAGGTTGAAGTCCTGTGGGAAAATAATCCCACTATTGCTGTATTTTCCAAGTATTTTCTTACGCAGCTAGAAATCCAGACATTTACATAAAATGTTTATTCTAAAAATGTTTATTCTGGGCCCTCCCTGGTAGCCCAGCGGGTTAAAGCACAGCACTAAGAAGCAAAAGCCACTTCAGCATGAGCTCGACCCCCACTGTAGAGGTGATCCACATGGCACAGCAGACCTCTTCTGATGCGCCCACTGCTCCTTTCAGTGCTTTGTCAGTCGGCCTGTTTGGCTCCTCACTCTATCTCTGGTGAATCCTCTTACTGCCCCTGCAACTCTGGCCTATACCCCAGTTCTATATGCATAAATAAATAATTCTTTTAAAAAATGTTAAGTCTATTCAATCTTTTAAATGCTGTGTATACCAGCAAAATACTCCTCTAAGTCAGGTATGAGAGTTGCTAGTGTTCTATTCAGAGTTGACAAGTCTGTGCCTGCTGTACTCTTTTTCAAACTACAGTTAACTGTATAATTGGATACACTGCCCCTTCCCTGAGGGTAGTGATGCACTATGGCCTCAGGGTAATAGCAACTAGGTGTATTTCATAAACATGGGTTAAAAAAGTCTAAGCTGTTTGGAGGTTTCTCAAACTGCTAAAAATGGAGCTTCCATATGACCCAATAATTCCACTACTAGGTATTTACCCAAAGGACACAAAAACATTAATTCAAAAGAACACCTGCACCCCTATGTTTATTGCAACACTATCCACAATAGGGGAAATGTGGAATCAGCCCAAATGCTCAACAACAGATGACTGGATAAAAAAAAAAAGATGTAGTACATATCTACAATGGAATATTATTCAGCAAACAAAAAGATAAACTCATGCCAAATGGAGCTGAAGGGATCATGCTTAATGAAATAAGCCAGAAAAAAAAAAGAAAAATACCAGACAGTTTCACTCATAGCAAGGGTATAAAGGATCGGTGGCGGGGGAATAAGTAGTTGTAATAAAGTAAAATAAACAAAGTACTATAAAATAAGCAAACAACTATAAGCCAGAGACATTGTATGTTTGGGGCAGGGGTGGGGGGAGGAGTAGGAAATAGGATCAAAACAGGCCTGGGGAAAGCATGCAGGACTATGGTGATGGCACATGGGTGAAATGGTGGTGGGAAGTCCACAGAGATTATAACCAAGATGAAAAGGCATACATTGTACAAAAATGAAGAATGTTGCAAAAATAAAATAAATAAATAAATGAAAGTGTATTTTGGTTGCTTGAAAAAGTAATTAAGCTTCTAATAGCATACAAAAGTTAGACACATCTTTTACGGATATTTGAAGTTAAAAAAATTACGATGTAGTTAAGTATTTCTTTTACCTTTTTATTATTGCTACTATACCTTGGGTCTAACCTGTATCTTGAATGGAGATAACCTTTTATTTATCCAACCTTTTGTTTGAGATGTAAGGTCATAGAACTTCTGTGCTGATGACACAGTATAATATATGTACTAGGCCCAGAACAAAACCCAGCACAAAGAAAGATCTCAGAAGTTGGAAGCTCCTTCTGTTACAGAGAGTTGAGCTGTCAAAGCCCTCACAGAAGTGGTCTACAATTTGGGAAAAGTTAGTGTTAACAAACTGAACTGGCACATTGAACTTACAGAATGACTTCTGTACCTGTATATTTTAGCAATATGCTTCTTAAATTAACCTCCATTTCAGCTCCTCTGAGAGAGCTAGAACTTTTGTCTACACCAACAAAGAAAGTATTTCGCAATGAAGGAGATAAGGGCCTCCACCTAGCTTCTCCCTTAGGAGATAGAGGTACTTTTCCACTTTTTATATTTTTTTTGTGAAATGGCCATGTTCCTATCTCAGAGGAACTTAGTTTAATCTTCCCTTAAACTAAGATGGAATTTACATTCATAAATTTACACACATGCTCGAATTGATCCACAACTTATTTAATGTTTTTGTTTTGTTTTTATTTAATGGTTTTATGTATAGTGTACTACACTGTCATCTTATCACATACTGATGATAATGCACAAATTCATTAAATTCATTAAATTGGCAAGAAATGAGGTCGTTTGAAATAAACAACAGGTTTTATTTAAACTTTGCTACTGTCCTCCCTTGAGGCAACAGGGTCAACCCAGGCATCAGTAAACAAGAATCAGTGCCTGATTCAATATTTAGTTCTTAGAAATGAAAAATCAGACACTTCATCTAACATGCACTGCAACATAAGGGAAAGACAGATAGTGGGATGCAGGAAATGATCCCGCAGTCTTTCTGAGTCTCACAAAGGAAAGCCAATTCAACCCTTTCCAAGAATCCCCTGGGAGTATGGAATGGAATGCTCAGCACAGCCCATCCTCCTCCAAGGGCCCCTTCCTTATGTGCCTTAATCTGCATGACCTCATACTGCAGGGATGTGCAAAGGCAGACGTGAACACACGACGAGAACTACACAAAAATCATCTACGCACTGCATATGAAAAGTAACTTTTAAAAAAATGTGCTAAACAGTAAAAATCCAGATTATCGAGCTCCTTCTCCACTTCACAACTAAAACCATCATCTCTCCATTCAAATCATTTTCCACAAGCAAGTGTATTTGTGTTATTTTTTTAAAATAGCATTTCATTTTTATCAACAATAGGATTTCTTTGCCCAGATAAAAGCAGTGTTCAATGGCAGGAGCAAGCAGCCAGTGCTATGTAAGTAGGCCTCAAGAAATGACGAATATTTACTCGTATATGAGAAAACGAAGTGTTACTCTCACACAGCCAGTTAGTGGAGTTAAAGAAATGTACCTGCAGGTTTTCAATTTCTTCTTTGTGCTCCCTCTTCAAGTGTAAGATAGCAGCTTGGTATTCTGTAAAAAATCACACAAGCAAAAAGCCAATTACAAAGAAGAACAAAAATCATGCCCAAAATTCAAATGAGTACCTCCCAGAATCCCAGGCTCTACTAGGAGTCAACCAAGTAAGTAAATGCCAGTTTGACATGAACCTGCCAAGAGATGTTTAAAGTGGGGAAGATAAGGCAAGCAGCTCAGGGTAGAAGGGAGATTTCCCTTCCATTCAGCAAACCATAAATTATGGGAAGAACCAAATGAAGCACATAAGATAGGGTTAAACAAACAAAAAAGCATGGTGAGTGTTACTGATAAAGAATGGGTCAGACACTTGTCTTTAGGGAGGAGTTGGAAATGAAGGCCCCACAGAGAACAAATACAGATGTGTTAAGAACAGACACACAGGAAATCAAAGAAAACTTTCTATGTGAGATCACAGAACTCTATTTTTAAGGCTGCTTCCAAAAAAGAAAAAAAAAAAATCTCCATTTGAATGCAAGCACCTAGGGCTGATTTTAATCTTGAGATCACTTCACAAAGTGAAGACCATTTGTCATTTGAATGAGACAATCTAAGGTGAGTTAAGGTTGAAAAGGACAAAAATAAACTTCTGGCCCAGTTTTAGTCTGAGTCTAATAATGTTTATTCCAACAGTAAGTCCCAAGAGTACACAGGAACTCCAGCCAACCACTGAAATGACCACCCTACTGCCTAAGCATGAAACAGCAGAGCTGTAGTCTCTGCAGAATGGTTAAGAGAGAGAGAGAGAGAGAGAGAGTGTGTGTGTGTTTGTGTGTAAGCGTAAGTGGGGTAAGAGAGGGGTCACAGAACTCTACAGGCTGTAGCGACTGATAAAGCAAACTGCAAAGAGAAATCATTTTTGTGGCATAAACCTTTTTTTTTTTTTTTAAACAGATGTATCTGGGGTGGTAAATATAAGTAAGAAAGCAATCAGATGTCATTTAAAAATCTTGAAAAGGCAGATTATTTCTGCAAGTAGATTTCAGAAATCAAGCATGGAAGTTTAGGTTTCGAATCAAAGTGAATGAGAGAAATCTTTGGTATTGTCTTCAACGGAGAGGAAAGTTGCTGTCAAGAAGTTTGACCAGCTACAGGGCTGCTCTGAAGGGGAATTCACTTGCCCACTCATCAACAAGCACGTGGGTGTGACATCCTGGAAATCAAACCACTTCAAGTCACCACCACCTTTTCCTGGACCTGGCAACCATCTCACTAGCACAGAGCATGGAGTGGCCACTGCTGCAGGTCATCACTGACGAGAGCATCTCTCAGTGATACATGGGTACAGACGACATTATTCAGTACTACATCTCAGGAACTATTCTTAAGAACTGCAGACAGATTAGCACATGCCATCCTGACACCGTACATAAAAGGCCGATCCTATCATATCAAAGGAGAAACTGAGGTCCACAATTTGGCTGAACAACTATCCCCAAGTCACATGGTCATAAGACCCAGTGATGCCAAGCAAGCCCAAGGAGCCTGTGTTATGTGCTCTGCAGGGTTTGTCTGCTTGTTTTTGTTTCTATGCTATGCTGCTGTTGTTCTTATAGGTGGCTGCGCACGGGTATCACCAAATCTCCAATTTCTAGGAACTTAAAGGCTTTATCAACTTACAAAAAAAATTTCTCTAACTCATTTAAAGGAGTATTTTTGCCTCTAAGTAGGCCTGATGAACCAGGGGTCAACACGAACACCATGGGTTAAAATATTTAGTAGCATCAAGTTATGTGATTATGACTCATCCAACTTCCCTATGGGGACTTCTAAGCCTGTAATCGGCAATTTGTGGTTAAACCTGGTTTTCATTTATATGCTTACACATGAAGCCAAACCCCTTCCCACTGCACATTGGTGTATGTGTGTACATACGCACGCACACCCACACCACACCACTGACGGAACTGGATTATGCACACAGTTAGGGAACTAGAAATTTTCTGATTTCCCAGATGAATGAAAACCAAGGTTTTATTCCAATCCAAGGATTCTCATTTGTATTGCCTGTGACTGGCATGGTCTTGCTCCACTACTTTGCATTGTTACTAATAAGTTCTAGAACATACTTTCATATAGACACTAGGGGGAAAAACAAACTAGCACATAAAACTCAAGACAGTGGTTTTAGTTTGCTTTCTGGAATAACATCATCTGGAACATCTTAGAAATGCCAATTTTTCAGACTTATGCTAGACTTATACTAGCAAACGTTATAACCCTTTGATGTTTTCAAGTCCTTTATCATGCCCACCAAGTGATTATGATGCATGCTAACCTTTGAGAACCAGTGCATTGAGACAGTGTTTATTTTGTTTAAACAAAGACAAAAAAAATTGGTTTCAACAATAAATTTTAAAATAAAGGTAGTACTATGCTCCAAATTAATATGCTCTGAATCAAGGAACTGGTACGTAAGAGAGGACATTTGGGGAAACATGCTAATTACTGACAGATGAATTCAAACCCATTCATAAAGGAACACAGAAACTTTCTCCCACTACCTCTAACATTAATGAAAACAGAGCTGATCATAGAAGGCAGAATCAAAATTTGCTTTTAAGAATAAAGTCAAACCTGGGCTCTCTAATTTAATAAGCTATGGACATAAAGTGTCCACAGTAGGTCCTCTATGTTGTTTCCTTGCCAGAGGTCTGTAAACAGTAAGGTTCACAGAAGCTGCTGTTTGGAAAAAGCAAAGTTTTCTTGTTGTCTATCAGAAGTTAGAGGAACAGTCAAATCCAAGGAAGTGGGGTAGGGCGGGGTGGGGGTGGAGAGGTAGTTGGGTCAAAGTCACCAGCAAGAGGTGGGGCTACTCCCTACAATGTCAATACAACATGCTCATCACACATATGATAGGAAATGTATAAGCAGGAGTTTTTTTAAAAAAAAGATTTATTTATTCATGCATACAGAACTGGGGTACAGGCCAGAGGTGCAAGGGTAGTGAAAGGAATCACCAGAGACAGAGTGGGGAGCAGAACAGGCAGAATATGAAGTACATTGCTGAGGGGAGCAGCGGGCAGGTCAGGAGAGGTCTGCTGCGCTGTGTGGGTCATCGAACTCACACTGAAGCTGCAATGCTGGGCTTTAACCCACTGCACCAACAGGGAGGGACACTGCTGACCTCTTAAGCCTCACCCTCTCCCTCTTCCCTTATGTCCCACATCTCAGCAATCTAATTAGAAAGCCTTTGACACAAGCAGGGAATTCAACCCCCACAAACCACTGTGCATAATGGAGAATCCTAAATCCAGCCCTTCAGTCTGAACACTATAAAATCCCAATCCTTCCTCTCTGAAGGTAATTTCCAGCTAGCTTGATGAATCTGCTCTGCTTGCCCCTCAAGTCTCATTATGCTTATAAACATGTTTGTTCTTACATTCTATGTGTGTGTGCATGTTTGCATGATAATGATTTTATATCTGAGTCAAAGTTTAGACAGAAGGTCTCTCTTGCCTCTTCAAAAGGGAAGAAATCATGTAGAAGTTATGCAAATAAGTACTACCAATTATGTGGTTCTAACTGTGAACAGAAAGAGGTGATGAGTTTCCATATCAGGAAAATTCAAGATTAGACGACGGCTGAAAGAAATCCATGAATTTAGGGATTACTAATTTTCAATCTCTCTCTTGTTCAAGAATATTTACAATTTCCTCAGACAAGAACATGAAGATGCCTGTAATTAATAAGAGATGTAGAAAATCTCAACTCTTCATCAACTTGTCAACATGTTTGGCAGCTCTTTGATTCATATGTTTAGGATAGCTATAACTTAGGCACTGAACTGCAAAGTGGGTTTAAGAAAGTGAACAGCACCCATTTCTAGCCATAAAAGCTTTCTCAGGGTATACAACTTGGAAAGTTCTAAGAAGTTTCCAGCACTTATACTTCACCAGTAACATATTAAGACTTCATTTTCTTCAATGAATTGGGTTTCTTTAAATTATTTCATATGCAGGTGTGGCAATCAGAGCACTCCAGTCAATATTCATCCATTTCTATCTCCCCTTTTAGCTTGGGGTCTAAGATGCTTTCCATGGTTTTTGGTCCTGACCAGTGAGATGTGAGTGGACATGATTTTACTTTGCAAGGAGAAAATTTTAATTTGCTCTCATAGTTTAGTTTCCCTCCTCCTATTCCAAATAGAAACACCTAGTTTTCTAGATAGTTTCTAATTACTCAGGTTGGGTCCCGATAAAAGTCTCTTGATACAGACCTAAGCCCTAGCTACCACTGGCAGCCATCGTCAAATCTATGCACATCCAAAAGAGCCGACCTAGAACTGGTGAACCACAACTGACCTTTACTCCATGCCAATAAATAATGGAATCTGACCAACCAGTATAGAAAGAGCAGGGCTTTCAGCAAGAAGATAAATTGGGACATGGAAGGGGAAGGGGCCAACATACCTATAGCCTTTAATAGTCAAAAAGTGATCTCTACAATGAAATCTTTATGACCTTGGGTGATGGCATAAAATAGACACAAATGTCAACAAATTAATAGCTGTGTCTCTTTGACTTTTACCTGGATTCCCAATGTAAGTACTCATGGCCAAGCTTACCATGGAGAAAACAGTCATTCAATCAAATTTCAGCTCCTCCTGGCCTTTTCAACTTGTCATCTTCTTTTACACATATTTTCAGTTCTGCTAACATGGAGATGCTAAGCCTAGGACTCCAGGAATACAAGCTCCCTAAAATCCTATCCCGTCTTCTATGTAATATTAAAGAGCAAGAAATAACTCCAGGCCCTCCCTGGTGGCGCAGCTGGTTAAAGCACAGCACTAAGAAGCTAAAGCCACTTCCCCATGGGTTCGATTCCTGCCTGCCCCGACACCTCCAGGACACCTCCAGGACACATGGCGTGGCAGACCCCTCCTAATCCTCTTGCTGCTCCCCTCAGCAGTGTACTTTGTGGATCTGCCTGTTCTGCTCCCCACTCTGTCTCTGGTGAAGCCTCTTGCCGCCCCTGAGCCTCTGGCCTGTATCCCA